GGAGTTAGATTTCTACTCCAAATTTTTACACATAAATAATTTTAACATCTGATGATGACTGCAAAAACCCAAATGTCTTGGGTGATGAATAATTTTTCGGCCCCACACTGAGTTACACACACATATTCTGAACGTGAAACTTTGCCTTCATTAACACTATGTGTTCACCAACAAAATGAATGAAAAAACCTCACTGTGAGCCTCTGCTCTTCATGTGACAAAGTCCTTTATCACACTGCCTAGTAAAAAATGCTTCCCACACTCTCTGCAAACCCCCTGTATGTCCACTGTCTTCCTTTAACTCCCCCAAATGATTCCGTACATGAGAATCAGAAACCACGTCACCACTTGTAAGGCCTGGCCCTGACTCCTTCTGCGCTTCCTCCTCTAGATGAGAGCTTCCCCCTCCGCTCTGAGCTTCTCACTGTATCTAAACACTAGTGACACTGGCAAAAGCGTCCAAAGAGCAAGGAACATTTAGAAACAGCATTCTCAAATGATGGATTTTTAAAAGTAAAGAAAATCTTTCCAGACAAAAAGCAAAATGAGGAGATGAAAGAAAAACAGAAAGTAAAAACTCTGTTTTCATCTACATCCAAAATTAGTTTATCTAATTTTGATGAAATTTTCTACACTCTCCACTCTCTCCTCTGTCTCATGCTAATTTTTGCTCTATTCTCTTTCTGGCCTCCGTCTCTATCACTTTCTCTCTCTGTCTCTGTCTCTGTCTCTCTCGCCCTCAGATTTTCTCCTATTTCTTTTTATGGTTATAATCTGCAGTTTTATCAAAAGCCTATTTATTCAATGTCTGGTAAGAAATCAGGTACAGGACATATAAAAGACAAAGCACATACTACTCTGCCATAAAGAAGGATAAACTTGAGAGATTTTTAGGTAAATGGATGTACCTTGAGAACATAATTTTAAGTGAAATAAATCAGACATATATGTTTAAATATCACATTGTTTCTCTTGTGTGAGAAACTCAAAGGGTAAATAAGGACCAAAATAGAGGACAGATATTGAGAAGTAGGAAGAAAATGTTCAAATGGGGAGGGAAACAAGGGAGGGGGGAGGGGGAAAGAAAGGAAGCGAACAGAGATAAAAAAATAAAAAATAATGAAAGGAAAGCAATAGAAACAAAGTTTTGGAATTGAGGAAGGCAAGAAGGATTGAAAGGAAGGGAGGGGAATGGAAAAAAATAATTAAGCTCTATTATGTACAGGTACAAATTCCCTATGGTGAATGTGATCATTATGTATGTAAAAAATGTACCAATAAAAT